CCCCCTCTCCTCTCCTCTCCTCTCCCCTTCTCCTCTCCTCCCCTCCCCTCCCTTTCCCTCTCCTTTCCTTAGGACATCCCCCCATATGTGTGTGTATGTTAATGTGAGTGTGGTTCAGGCATGTCTGGTTGCTTGTGAAGGCCCCAGGTTCGGGTGTCGTCCTCAATTGCTCTCCACTTTATTTTTTGACACAGGGTCTCTCAGCTGAACCTGGAACTTAATGACTGGCAAGTCTGGCTGGCCTGTGAGTTCCAGGGAACCGCCTCTCTGCACAGCAGTGATGGTATAACCACCACTAATGACTTGTGCGGATGCTGATGACCTGAATTCAAGTCTTAATGCTTGTGTGGCAAACACTATTTTTTTTAAAGACATGGTCTCCTGCAGCCCAGGCTAGCCCTGAACTTCCCATGTAAGCAAGGATGACTCTCAACTCCTGACTTTCTTGCCTCTGTCACCTGAGTGCTGGGATGACTGGCACATGTTACCGCGCTCTGTTCACACGGTGTGGAGTCTGAACCCGTGCTCCCTACATGCCAGGCAGACGTTCTTCGTCTCCAGCACATTGTCAAGAGTCTCAGAGAGAATGTTCCACACGGACCTTGGGTTGGGACCCTAGAACCAGCTGTTCTAACAGCTCGGTCACACGTAAAGTTAGAACAGTTCACCCGAGTTCCCAGTGTTCCCTTTCCCGGCTCTGTTCCAGGGAAATGCCCTTCAGTCGATCCTCGGGGTCTCATGGAGATTGATGAAGAAGGGTAAAAACAACTTCCAGAGTAGACACCCTCAAGAATCATATTTATTGTTTCTAGAATCATCTAGAAAAAAGTACTAGCCACACAGACAATGGAGTTTTAAACCAAGCCTCCTCCTGGTTTAAGTTATTTCCTTCCAGCTAAGTTTGTCCAAATGCAAGTGCATTCCGTGCAGTCGGTCGGAAACGCAGGACTGTGTGTAGTGTACTTGAAGGTTTTCTTTGGCTTTGGCAGATAATTGACCATATTAGATGGCTGGGAGTCTGGAGGAATAGAATACATTTCTAGATAAGGTCACACACTTAGATTGCCGGAAGTGGTTTCCTGATGGAAAGGTCTTTTGACCAAACTGGTGCTTGATAAAGAAAACCAACTACTGAAGACCAGGAGCAGACACAAAATTTCTAGCTGGGTGGTGGCTCACGCCTTTCATCCCAGCACTTGGGAGGCAGAAGCAGGTGAATCTCAATGAATTTGAGGCTAGCCTGGTCTACAGAATGAGTTCAAGGACAGCCAGGGCTGTTATACAGAGAAATCCTTCCTTGAAAAAAATAATGATTTTGGCTAAGAAAACGGTACCTCATTGTCCGTAGACAAGCGTTCTGCCCTCTACGTTAATAATACCCTTTCTCCACTGCTTCCCTCCTCCCTCCCTCCCTCCCTCCCTCCTTCCCTTCTTTTCTTCATTTTGCAGGATCTCATATACTCTAGGCTGGCCTTATCCTTGCTATAAAGTTGAAGATGACCCTGTACTTTCCATCCTCCTGCCTCCATCTCCTGAGTTCTGGGATCACAGGTGTGGGCACCATGCCTGGTTTTTGGTCCTGGGGCTTGAACCTAGGGCTCCATGCATGAGGCAAACATACATACTACCTGTGGAGGATGACTCTGAACTCCTGATTCCCTGCATCCACCCTGAATGCTGGAATTAGAGGAGTGTCCCACCACACCCAATTCGCATTGTGTTGGGATTCAGTCCAGGGCATCACGCATGTTAGGCAAGCGCTATACCAACTGAGCTACTGAATTCTGACCCCAGCTGTATTACACCAGTTTGATGAATTCCTGTAGTGGATGTTAAAGGCCTCACTAACAACATCACAAGCTGGAAGGCACCCCTGGGAAACTCTGAAAGGACCAATAAGGAGGTGACGCCTCTGAAGCTACGTAGCTGGGAGCTGCGCTAAGGTTGTCAGCCTCTGAGTTCTGTAGGATAGATGTTTCTCTAGACTTTTTTTTTCTTCTCTGCTTGAAGGGCATTATGGGAACGCAGTTGGCTCAGAGTGATGACATTACCATTATGAATAGTGCTTGGGGGCTAGGCTCAGGATGCTGGGAACTGGCTGGGAGATTCCCAGAACGTTTTACATAATGATGCTGGGTTGCCAGGCCAGCAGAGTGACTGCGGAATGGAAGCAGGCAGCAGAAAGCACTGGGGGGGGGGGGGGCATCAGAAATGAGCTATTCAAACAGAATCCTGCACGCACTCTGCTGTTCTCTCTGTGGTCTGGTGTGGTTGTGTCAGCCTGCAAAATGCTCTTTACTGCTCCTAAGTGTGCTTTCTCGTCCTAACTTCCTGTTCCCTCTTCTCAAGGATGGCAGAAACCCCAAGAGTGTTGAGAAGCCAGCAATTGCATCTAAGCTCCCTGGACTTTTGTTCCGTGAGTGAAGGAATGGAATGAAGTGAAAAAGAAGCACACATGACCTGGTGGCTAGCACATTAAGGTAGGAGTGAGGTCTTTAGATACAAATTGGAGAATTCATTGCGGGCGTATGAGTGTACTTGTTTGTGTCTAAGTGTGCACACATGTGTATATATGTGCATGTAAAACTCAGAGGTGAAGGTTGGTGTCCCCCCCTTCTTTCCAAGATAGGTTTTCTCCCCCCCCCCCCCCCCCCGCTAGCTCTCTCCCTCTCCATCTCTCTCCGTTCCAAGGCAAGGTTTCTCTCTGATACCCTGGTTGTCCCCAAACTCACTCTGTAGTAGACCAGACTAGACTCGAACTGTGTGACTCTGCCTCCCAAGTGCTGGAGTTAAAGGTGTGTGCCACCATCCCTGGCTGGGTGTCTTTTCTCAATCGACCACCATCTTTTATTTTTGAGACAGAATCTCTCACTGAACCTGGAGCTCATTGATTTGACTAGGCTGGCTGCCTAATGAGCTTCAGAAATCCAACTGTTTCTGCCACTTAAGGGCAGCACCATACCTGCCTTTTCATGTGTGCGCTAGGGATCCAAACTCATGCTTGGATGCATGCCATGAAGACGCTTTACTGACTGAGCCACTACCCAACTACAAGTGGAGCCTTTATAGGGAAGACTGAAGAGATGTTCGAGAATATTGATTAGCATGGTAGTCAGTAAGAGTAGTGTCTATTAAAGTTTTCAACAATTGCCACCACCTATCATGAGGCCAAGCAGTACATGCTAGAGACTGGCAGGCTTATTTCTTTTTTTTATTTTTTATTATTTTTTATTTATTTATTAAAGATTTCTGCCTCCTCCCCGCCACCGCCTCCCATTTCCCACCCCCTCCCTCGATCAAGTCCCCCTCCCTCGTCAGCCCAAAGAGCAATCAGGGTTCCCTGCCCTGTGGGAAGTCCAAGGACCACCCACCTCCATCCAGGTCTAGTCAGGTGAGCATCCAAACTGCCTAGGCTCCCACAAAGCCAGTACGTGCAGTAGGACCAAAAACCCATTGCCATTGTTCTTGAGTTCTCAGTAGTCCTCATTGTCCGCTTTGTTCAGCAAGTCTGGTTTTATCCCAGGCTTTTTCAGACCCAGGCCAGCTGGCCTTGGTGAGTTCCTGATAGATCATCTCCATTGTCTCAGTGTGTGGGTGCGCCCCTCGCGGTCCTGAGTTCCTTGCTCCTGCTCTCTCTCCTTCTACTCCTGATTTGGACCTTGAGATTTCAGTCCGGTGCTCCAATGTGGGTCTCTGTCTCTGTCTCCTTTCATCGCCAGGCAGGCTTATTTCTAAAGGGCCAAGTAGTAAATATGTTTGCTTACTGACCACTTGGTCTCTTTAGCAACTACTGAACTCTCACACAGTATTGAAAGCAGCTGCAGACAATACAGATGGGCTGTGTGCCAATAAAACTTTATTTATGGGGCCAGGGATGTAGCTTAGTTGGTATAGTGCTTGCCTAGCATGCATGATGCCCTGGATTCAGTCCCAGTACCACACAAACTGGGTGTGGTGAGACACTCCTGTAATTTTAGCACTCAGGGCGGGGAGTCCAGGTAAATCAGGATTCAGAGTCTTCCTTGGCTATGTAGATAGTTCAAGGCTAGCCTGGGATATGTGCAATTGTCTCAAAAACACAAAACAACAAACAAGAAATCAAAAAAACCCTAATTATGGACACTAAGATTTGGATTTCATGTAATTTCCACAAGGCACAAAATGGTTTTCTTCCTTTTTTTCTTTTCAACAGTTTAAAAATGTAAAGCCCCCTCCCAGTGGGCAGATTATAAAGCGCACAGTAGACTTGACGCTCCGGCTATCACTTTCTCTGCTGGTTCTGAGGAAACTACCGTGACTTCAGCATCAGGCAGACTGGGGTTAAAATCTGGTCCCGCCTAACCTTTAGCAAATTGCTTGACTTGCCTGGAAAAGATTTCCCTTTGTAAGTTTTAGGTTTCTCATTTGGAAACTGAGGATGCAAAATCTTCCACGAATGGTTATTATGGGAATTAAAAAGATGATGTTGGTCTGGGAGGATAGTTTGGTGGTGAAGTGCTTGCTGCCCAAACCTGAGGACCTGAGGACCTGAGTTCGGATCCCTGTCATGCACATAACATGTATGTAACCCTACGGCCAGGGTAGGTAGAGACAGATGGATCCATAGAGTTCTCTGCCCAGGCAGTCTAGCCAATCGGTGAGTTCCGGATTCAGGTAGGGACCTGGGCTGTGGCAAGGAGACTGCTTGCTGGTTCCTGGCTGCTCAGCCTTGAAATAATCACACAGAAACTATATTATTTGAATCACTGTTTGGCCCATTAGCGCTAGCTTATTATTGGCTACTCATATCTTAATTTAACCCATTTCTAGTAATCTGTGTATCACCACGAGGATGTGGTTTACCAGGTAAAGTTCCGGCATCTGTGTCCGGTGGGGCTACATGACTTCTCCCTGACTCTGCCTCCTTTCTCCCAGCATTGAGTTTAGTTTCCCCCACCTACCTCTATTCCCTGTGCAGGCCCAAGACAGTTTCTTTATTAACCAATGATACTCACAGCATACAGAGGGGAATCCCACATCACTGGTCTCAAAGGATAAGGTGGAGAGCTGTAGTCGAGTCGACCTCAGGCCTCTGTGTGCACAGCTGAGCACATGCATGCTCCTCACATGCAAACACAGCAAAGACAGCCTGAGTAAATACATGCTCTTGCTCTCCTTTAACAAGTGGTAACAAGAAAAATCAAATAAAAATCTTACTAGCTCTGTGAGCTGTTTCAGTCTCCCTCACATTTGCCGTGGTGACACGCCTTTGTCCCAATCCTTGGAGGTGACATAGGCAGACTTTCCTCCAGTCTGTCATTGGTTTCTCCCTCCTGAACATTCTCACCCAAACACATCTCTGTAAGCGCCTGTGGAGCTCAGGTCCACATCGCCTGCCCCACATGGATGGATCAATTCATACTTCAAGTGTGTTTTTCCTGAATCCTCCTACATTGCTACAGGTGGAAACTGGTCAGATTCAAGTTTCAGGGTATATCTGAGCATTGTGTTGCAAGTTGGCCCTCCAGCTCTGAGCTGGTAGGACAAGGAAGATTCTTTGGTTTTGTTTTGGGATAGAGCAAGAAGTGGTCATGATGGTAATGCCTAGTGACTTTGGCGAGACTGTGTAAGTAATCACTCAGAGAAACACTGTCCTGAGTAAGTAAGTGTTTCTTCCCCACCTGAGAGCCTCCACGGCACAAACCTTCCTCCTAGATCTCTGGAAATAGCTTCTCAGGAGCCTCAAAAACCAGTGTTCACCCAACTGAACTCTGCAGCTTAGCTAGTCTTCCATTGGAATGGCACGTCTAGAGGAAGCCAAGTCAGCCTGCAATGGAAGACGATGCTTGCACAGGCGTGCTTACAGAGCACGGTTCACAACAGCCATGGTAGAGAATAAGCTTATATGCCCCTCTGCAGAGGAGTAAATAAAGAAAGTGTGATATAAAAGCGTAACAGCACTAGTCAATCATTAAGAACAAAATCATGTCGGTTATAAGTAAATTGATAGAGCTAGTGATCTTCATTTCAAGGGAAATAAACTAGCTACAAAAAGACAAGTAATCCGTGTTTTCTCATGCATTGTGGGGGAGGAGAGGCATGAGAGTAGAAGGGAGGATGCCAGAGAAAGAAACAAAATTAGGGAGACAATTAGGGATAAAAGGGTGAGGGAGGAGTGGGTGTGACCGAAGCCCAGTGTGTGTGTGTGTGTGTGTGTGTGTGTGTGCAGAAGTATCCAAATGAAACCCATTATTTCACACTGTTTCCCACTTCCTCACCACTTCTTCCTCCTGTTTACTCCTCCCACCTATGTTTTAACCTATCAGGGCCAAGCAGTTTCTTTATTGCTTAACCAATGAAATCAACAGATTGATATATGACACTCCCACATCAAAAAAACCAAGAGCAATACTAGGTAATCCATAAAGAACAAAATTTCAAAGTTTTAGGTAGACATAGGATTAGTAACAATGCTGGTCCAGCCCTACCCTTCCTAAGGCCAAAGGAAGACTCAACAGTGCTGACCTAGTAGATCTTAAGCAGATTCTGACTCTTCCTTGGTGATTCTCCCTTCGTGGCTTGCCTCAGCATAGCAGAGCGAAGAGAACATGGTGGGGCAGCCGAGCCGGCACTGTGGCAAAGTTTGCTTTTTGTTATTGCTTACCCTTCTTCCCTTTTCTTCCTCTACACTTGCCCATCTCTTCTCCTCTGTCTTCTCTTATTACTCATCTCCCCACCTACTCGGAGAAAAGTTCTCACATAGCCCAAGCTGACTTCAAGCTTACTGTGTGGCCAAGGACACCCTTACGCATCTGAGCCTTCGGCCTCGGCAGCCCCAGTGCTAGGAGTCTAAGCATGGACCACCACACTCGTGATCTGAGGTGCTAAGGACTGAACCCAGGACTTCATGTCCTGGTACCAGCTGAACCACATCTCTTGCCCCTCCCTCATTTCTCTCAGCTTTGAACTCTTGGCTCTCCTTCAAATTCAGTAATAAAAAATGATCAGAGAGTTATTTGGTTTACTCTGTAATCAAAAATGACCAAAGAGCTATCTAACTTACAGTAACAGTGGTTTCCCGAAAGTAGACACTGGCAGTGAAATGCCTTTCCTTGTTGGGGGGTTTCTATGCTGCTGGCCCGAAGCCCACGTGATCGCCTCTAGTGATTCCCATGCCTTTCATGGCTGTGGACGTCTTCCATATGGGAAATTCTGTTCTCTGTGAAAGTTGATAAACCACCTCAAGGCCAAGTGATTCCCTTTAATCTATCGGTGGCAATCTTTTAGTAAGTGCTGGCAAGGGCAGCGGGCCACTCCTCTGACTCCTGATGGTTACCAGAACATTCCTCGGAGAGGATGTTTTCAAAGCAAACGTTTGAAGTAAGCACCAGGGATCCATACGACCATGCATGTGGCGGCATCTGGCATTTATAAGCACAACAAAAGCTCCTTCCTCTTTCTTAATCTTTATCCCAGATGGGAGCGTGGCTCAGTACCAAGA